TCAGTTTAATGTGAGACCATAATGTCCTGAGTGGACGACTTTTATTGCCTTTATCGCCAGGTCCTGTTCTAGTGACATTTAAGGAGCCTTGAAAGCATATTCCAACGGTTTTAGATTTTAATATCTCTTGATGATTAGAAGAGATATAGACATAAAAATTCAGTTTTAGTTCAGTCTCACGCTGAGTTTAATATCTAGAAGTACCTTGTCAAAAAAATCCACAAGATAAATTACCAAATTAGCGAAATGGCTGATCGGATATCTCCCCAAACAAAACCTTAACAGTTTTCCTGCTCACTTCTCTGAACATCCCTCCTGCTTGTTTTGGCTGCCATCCACACAGCCATCTGAGCCACCAGCTCGCTGACTAAGACTGAGGCTGACTCCCTCAAGCCTGGAGCCTGGGGTGCTCGTCTGCCATCCGTGCTGACATACAGAGCTCAGTCCAACTCGAAAGGCTGGATAAATAATAGACGAACACAGCCAAGGCTTCTTTATTCTTCGTCCTCTGTGCATGGATCTGTTGCCTCTCTTTCCTCCTGAGTGTAACTTAAACATCTAGAGCTTCTGTATCCAATGAGGAGTTTTCGCCACATGAGATCAGAAGTTTTAAAACCATGTAACAGTTTTCATTACAGGTCCAATTTGCACATTTCTGTTTAGGACAATCCTTATGATATTATTCGATAAATTCCACAAGTAATGAGCCTGGATTCAACTAGAGAGAAGATACTGCTGCTGTGGAAGCGGCGAAAGCGCCAATAGCAGTTGCTAAGAAACTGCTGAGGTGTTGGTGTCCGACGGTGATAATTATATGACTGGAATGTGATCACTCGTGAATAATTTATCCAGCTCGAGATGGAGCGACAAGAGCACGGGGAATGGTGCATCTCCCATATGTGTCAGAATCAAAGTAAACACAGTGATGAAAAGTCTGCTAATGGCGCCACTTGGAAGACCTCCGGCACAGCCCAGTGAAGGATGGCCGTGCCAGTGAGCGGGGCATAAATAAGCGTTATAATGATTTGGGCTGAAAGATCCCTTAGATGGGCAAAATGACAGAGTCTGCATCAGGATTCGGTGGGAAGTGCAGCAGACATTGGAACAGCTTGTTACCACAATGAATACTACAGCTGTCATAACTTGCCAAGTGAGAACTGAGTGACTGCTCCACTTTGTTAAGCAAAATTTAAATTCCCCGTCTCTTTCAGTATACATGTAAAAACATTCACTCTGCTTTGTTTGGCAGTTTTTACACATTTACAGCATCAGTTGGAGAGAATAAACGCTCTGTATTACAGCAAAGCCCAAAGTTTACAGTGTTTTAAATAGTTTGTGCCAAAGTTTGGTGGTGATTTAAAATGAAATAAAACAAACTATGCACTGTTACTTTTTAAGCAATGACAGCTGTAAAAATCACTCAGTGTTGTTGAATCCTAATTTTCTTCTATTACAACTTTGACATTCTTTGCAGTTTTGGACAGTTCTATGTTTACCCGGTTAACTTCTCAGGGACAGTGCAGATATTTAAACATCACTAAATATGGCTAAAATAATCCAAAAGGTTTTCTCACTTTTTAAGTGTTTAAACTTCCAAAATAACACAACTGAGGAGGACAAAAAATGAGCACTGCACACAGGGCTGGGCGATATGGCCTCAAATCAATATCAGGATATATTGAGGAGTTCACCCCGATAACGATAAATGGATAACTACTCCACTGTGCCCCTTCTGCAGAAAAAAATTAGCCAGTAGATGGGGATGTAGCAGTTATATTGATAGTATGACTCCCCTGGACCCATTTATTGTAATTATTTTGCCACTGTTAAGGACTGTTGTTATGGGCTGGATGGGGTGGAGTCACGTCTCTGATGTAGGACAGTGTCTTAAAGGGACATGAGACCATAGCCTACCTACACACATCCAAAACCAACTTTTATTGATTTATTTTTTTGACACTGAATATATTGACATGGGCAAAATGACATTAATTATTATTGTAAATTTTGTAATCTGTAAATTTTCAGTTTATCGCCCAGCCCTAATTGTACATCACACTTTAGACACTGATAACAGCAATCATATCAATTGGATTAAAAGAGCCTGAAACTCCATTATTAAGAAACCTGAACTGATAGAACATCTCAAGTTTAAATTGGCCAAAACTTGTCTCAGAAAAGAGTAACAAAGGAACTGATTTAGACAGTGTCAGTGAAGGGACTCTTGGACATCTTATTTATCCGACTCTTCACTCTCTTTCTTGATTTATACATTCATGTTGAATGTCTTTGCAGCAAAGCCAGAAACAATTCCTGTTCAACTACAAGGATCTTGAACACACTGCACTGAGAGTGAGAGGAACAGAGGGGTTAACGGGGGCTAAGCAGTTCATTTTTGCCCTGGGGTCGCCTCCAAGGTGTATCTGGCAGTGCTGCCAGTCAATGCATTTTGGACTTGTTAATGCAAGAACTGGGGAATTACATAGTGTTGTTTTTAGCAATGTAAAAAGTGTGAACGTGTGCAAAGCTGTATGTATTATCTACTAACTACCATCCTGAGTGGCAAGTTGCCTTATTTATTTTAGAAAGTGTGTATTTGACAAAGATATAGTATGACATGGGATGTCGTATTCACCCTGTTTCAGGGCCAGGCTCTCGAGTGTCGGCATCAAATAGTCCCTGTTATTTATCATTTTATACCTCCAGCATTTTAATATTCCACTGCAGCGCTCTCCGTCAAGGTTTGTTGCTAGAAGAAGACATCAGGTTGCTGAAAATTGAACATTTTATCAAACACAACGTTAGTAAAGACTGATTGGTTCATGTTTATCACAGTATTTTTTCTGTACATTAATAGACTTGTGTACTATGAGTACTTTATCCCAGAAAATAGAGCCAATGGCAGCATGTCTGAGCAAAGCTGATGGATTGTGGGCACCCCTGCTTTGTTTCAGCTGTGACTCCACTCAATCAGAGCAAACAAGCCGCTCAGCCTGCAGCTTGTTCATTGATGTGACACAACATGCATTTTCCTACCAGCCGCTCTTTCCTCGGCTGCCAATCATTTTATTTTTGCTCATCACCTTTGCCTTAATCCATCCAGAACCTTCAGCCTACCAGAGCAAGGAAAATGTGATTTACTCGCATAATGATTACTTGAAAGGACAGCCCTTTTTAGAGATGCATGAAAGCAAACTATACTGTCATGAAAGAAGGTAAATGCACTGTTTTCCATATCCATTTCTCTACAGTGACACATTTTTTTTCCTGCTTGGCATATTGGTTTTAAGATGAGAACACCTGTGGCTGCTTCTGATTCGCGCCCCGCAAAAATCTTGTTTTTGTTCAATTTTATCGTTCACTTAAGCTGTGATTGTATCGGAGTTCTCAGGGACACTGCTTATTTTTCCTCCAGGAGAAGATGATATTATGCCGTATATTTTCATAACAAAAAGATTTCACTGTTTGTAAATGTCATGGATAACAGTGAAAAGATATTCGTGAGCAGGGCTGTGAGAAGAATCGCTGATAAGAATAAGATATAATTTCATTCCACTGAGATTTTTACAGACATTTATTTGATTTCCGAAGATGCCTGTCACATTAAGCTGTTTGTTTTCATGTTTATTTATTTGCAGCCATGAGATTTAGGGAAGACTGAATTTCAAATATTCAATATGAGTTTGATTGTTTTGAGTGGAAAAGGAAGAAAAAAGGTAAACTGTGAATTTAAAAGGGAAAGCATACTTTGTGATGAACAAAAACGGAGAAATGTCTCCTTTCTTTGTCCTACAAAAGCATTCACACCCTCTCAGCTCCAGGCATGAGCATTCACACATCTATGTTCATGGCTGTGGGCAAGATTCCTATATTCCCTGTAATGATATCAGTTATACAGAGGCTAAAGGTCAGCCTGTGTCCTCTCATCTCAGCTGGAAGAGCTAAAGGACATGTCCATGGTTACCGCTGCACATTAAGCAGACCATCGCCCACCCACCTCAGCCTAATCAAGCCACAGCTGTTGGAAAAAATGTGGAAGTGCAAAGAATTCCAGTTCCTCGAGTGCCCACTCCAATCATCTCCATCAGATCCCATATTGAAATGCTCAGACATAAAAATGTCTACAGCCTGTTTTTTTTCTTGGTTTCAGACCATACATGACAGAAATATTCAGGCCCCATTGCATACAAAATGTCCATCCATTTGAATTAATTAGATTTAACATAAACAGGCCAGTAAACTTCATGTGCTACATACCGATGAAAATGTATCTATTCATCATTGATAAATCCAATTAGTTTCTGTCTCATATATTTTAACTAAATGAATCTTGGTTGATCTACAGCTCATCATAATAAACTATAGAATACATTTTAACTGGTTAAATTGAATTGTTTTCAGAATAACTGATTTTAAGAAATTTGAATAAATGCATTCTGAAAAAAATTAATAATTTGAATAAAATCAAATAGATGTAAATACTTACAAATAAATGATGGCACAGTTCATTTTTCTGAGTGTACAGGGGTGACTGTTGTCTTCATAGCTTATGAATTTTATGATAAGGCAGGGAGTTATGTGGTTTCCAAAAGTTAGCTACAGCCAGCATCTCTAATATGGCGACCACTATCTTTAGGTTTTATAACACCTCTTCAGAAACCGATGGGAGATGTCACTGAGACTTCATACATTCATATGCAGTTGAAAGATTCATAGTTACATCACAAACAACACAAACAGATCTCAGACAACCACAACACTTTTTTCGGTTCTTTTTGAACTTGGTTCATTCTTACATTACTGGCAGTGCTTCCCAAAGGAATGTAACATAAATGTAAGTGGACAAACCCATGACAAAAACTGAAAGCTGATCTGTTTTTATTTCATAAAGTCGTTTTGTAAGAACGGTGGCTTGGTTCCCTGCGGTGATAAATATCCTCTTAAATGTTCTTAGAATTACATGGCCACATACTTATGAGGATAAGAAGACTGTCATCATCTTGAGCTTGGATTACTGTGCAACAAGGTTTGGGAGTTGCCAAAAAAAGGGGACTGCTACAACTTCACATGTGCTACAGCAGAACATCCATCATGTAAACACAGGTAAAGAAAAGTGTGTCGTACTGCCATGGAGTGTAGTGGCAGGAGGACCAGGTGTGTGTTAGTAAAGCAGAGGGACAGAATGAGCATGAGGAGAAAGAGGCTGTTAGGATATTATCAAGTTAACAATGAGTGAACTCAGTCCATATCCTATTAAAGTATGCATCCAGAAATGTGCGTTTGAAATGTTTGAATATAATAAGATTTGCAGATGAAGCAAATTAGTGAATAAACATGATTTTCAACAATCTGGACTCCAGATCAGATCCTGACAGTTGCATGATTGATCAGAAGTGTTAAAGTCTGACTGTCATCTCTCCTAAGTGAAATCTATTTAAACGTCTGTGTCTTGTCCTGATCTTATAAAGAGTCTTTTTGTCGACACAGAAATGCCTGTGTCTTGTCCTGATCTTATAAAGAGTGTTTTTGTAGACACAGAATCATAACTCAAAGGCCTGTGTTCACAGTCCAGCACCAATGCTGTCAGTCTGTGCTCTAACCTTTAACAGTATGTTATCTGTGTAAAAACAGTGATAAGCATTGTATGGAAACTGTCTGGACTGCCTTTGGCACTACCTTTGTCATTGGCCTGATAGCTCACTCAAGATAATTAGCTTCAGTGGAGTGGAGTGTCTTGTCCTGTTAAAGCGCGTTTGTTGATCAAAGGCGTTTGACTGACTCACTAATCCCCTCAGACGGCGACACAGTCACCGTGGCGTCAGGCCGTGGAGTGGCAGCTGACACACACAAGGGCATTAGAGAACACAAAGCTGTTTGGCGTCACTTGAGCTCGTGTTAAAGATCTCTCAGTGGAAACACAAACAGCTTATGAGAGGATACTCAGTTAAATGATAAGACTCACATTATGAGATAATTCTGTTATGATCCTGAAGCAAAAAGCATTGTTTTAGCTCTCACTTCATAGCAGATAGTCCTGAAAAAGAGTAGCCAATATAAGCCTGTTGTTGTGCTGAAGTATGTGACTTAGTCATGGAAGAATGTACAGTCAGTGGGGGCTAAATAAACCCTTTTATAGCTCAGATATTACTCTAATGCACCAGGGATGGAGTGATTAGAGATTCTGAATGTATGATCATTGTCCAAAGAACAAACATGGATCCACATTTAGTGCGCATTACTTAATGAAAAGCACTCTAGCACTCTTATGGATTAAATATAAGGTACATGTAAGCTATGTATTTCCTTTTTCAATTAAAGAGATGTACTGTTAGGCTGCAGGGCTGGTTTCTGTATGACTTTAAAAACTTTATCACAAAATTTGTTTTGTAATGGACATCATCATGCTTCTGATTAGTGTTTTGCACCTATAATTTATGGCATTACTGCACAGAGACAGGGTGAAGCAATGCTAACATTCACTGGCTGCAGCCCTGTAGAGGACTTTTTTGTCTTCTGCAGACCTCATGCTGCTTCACAGTTGTTTGTTGATGTAGCATTGCAAGTCCTTTTTTTACGGCTATGCCACAAGTTGTGACACAGTGTAGAGCGAGATAGTGACCCCACAGCTGCTGCATCAGTTTAATGTGTCTGACCTTTTAGCCATAACTCTTTTCCAGGAGGATTTGAAGACAGGAAATACTGCTGAATTCAATCAGTCTTGGGTCCCTCTGCCATCGTAAAGCTAATGTAGCATCACCTATATGTCTCTTGATAAGCATGGCACATTAAACTGGTGCTTTACAAGTGCCACTTTATTTGTTTGTTCTTCCTTTGGTGCAGGTAGTGCCAAAAATAAAGTCATTATTGTATGGCGTGAAACGATACTAATAGTTTTTTGGTTTTTATATTCTCAAAGCTCTCCTGTTGGCCAGAGGAAACATAGAAAGAAAAAGACCAGTATATGAGAGCCTCACAGTGCATCCCATGGAGTAAACCAGAAACAAACTACTCGGTTACAAAGTAGCTGCTAACTAATTTCAAAATAGCTGCTAGTTACAAATTAGCAGGTGAAAACTTAAAGACCCACTCCGATGAAAATCATGTTTTTCTTGTTGTCTACATGAAAACTAAGAGCAAAATTGCGTTTCTGAGTATTCTTGCATTCAAATCGTTGTTAACCTTTCACAGGCCCAAACAGCAGGCTCAGACAGTGAGATTTCCTATGTCACAACTGCAAGCTCCGCCCCCAGACCCCCACTATGAAGGCTAGACTCCGAGATATAGAGAGGACGATCGCAGAACAAGTGTGTGCGTTAGCAGATTGCAATGCTTGTAAGAAAGCTAACTATGATATTAGCTTTCATCATGCCCTTAAAGGCATTAGAACTGAATAGCTCCTATGTTACCTGCCACTTCTACTACACCGGCAAAGTTAGGCTGCAAGCTAGCATAAAGAGGAGTTTGCAGAGTAGAGCTGTCTCTGTCCACGAATGAGAGGCGAATTGCTAATGATCTACTGGAGCTCTGCAGAAGAAAAGCCGTTGTGTGACCTGAGTCAGTGCAAAAAAACAGCTGAAAGGGGATAATATGCTGTTCAGAGTTTGAATTAATGTCCCCTAAATTTTGTTTTTCATTTAAATAATAAAAAAAGAACAAATCAAGCAGCATTTCTGTGGTGGTTGCTGAATATCCAGAGTTCAGAGTGACGGTTTAATGCTCTTTTTATCCAGAGAGAAATGGTGGTGGCCATTGTTCCACTTTCTTTGTTTCCTACACTTCAAATTAAGATCTGAGGGCTCAAATCCTCAACACGGGACAATAGCCACCAAGCCGGCTTTCACTCCCTTGGTCTCTGTCTTACTTCATCACCTTCCTCTTTCTGTGATTTCAACAGAGGCTCTTGAGCTGGCAACTTAAATGGTTCTTGAGGAGGACAACAAATACCATTTAAAATGGCAGTCTTTGTCGCCGGGGAATTACACCCCCGTGCCCTCAAAGCCATTTGGGAAATTAAGTGAGCAGCCAGAGTGTCTAGGAACAGCCCATGGACAACAATGCTATTGCTCTGAGAGTGAGTTGAAGCCGGATGTTTTTCCAGCGACACGTGTCTCTCACAAACCCGCTATAAAATTCAAACTGGGACATTTTTGAGTAACTCCAAACACCCACTATTACATAATTGGGCAGAATTTTAAGCATCAAGATGGCCAAAGCTTTGCTATATATTTTAATTGTGTTACCTTATTTTGAAAAAATCATTGAGTGTCCTTATGGTTAGCTCTGATCTGCACACTTACCTTTGGTGATTTAACCATGTGGACATGCTTTTTAATAGCTGCTTCTCAGCTCAACCACACAAGCTAATGAGGCTGCTGTTGTGAATGACAGAGCTAAACCTGTGGAGTGGCGGTGTATCTTTCCATGCTCCATCAGTGTCGTGTCAGGGCGAGTGGCTGGCAGCAGATACACGTCACATCTCTGTGGCACAGCTGCACTAATTGTTTTGTCAGCCGGGGATCCCGGCAAAGCAAATTGAATCTGGGTGTCAGAAATGTTTCTGTTGTGCCTCTGTCAAGACAGCCAAATATGGACATAGTAAATGTTGGCATTGAACAAACAAGACAAGTTTTTGTCGAAATTGACTTTTTGTGACTGAGCCTAGGGAGGATCTCCACAATAAGTAATAATAATAATAATAACTTTATTTGTATAGCCCTTTTAAAAACAGAAGTTTACGAAGTGCTTTGACATATGGTCATAGAGCACATGGAAAAAGATAGAAACAAAAAGCTCAGTTAAAACGGCATTAAAGCCATTTTCATGTCATAAGGAACCCAGACGATACAAGAACCATGCAACATAAAATGAGATCATGAGGACCAAAAGAAAAACATAAAATAGGTCAGAATAAAGTAAAATGCAATTAAAAGTGGGGTCGAAAGCGGGAACAGGATAGTAAATATAAAAGGCAATATCAACAATGATAATTAAATAATAACAGGTAATCCTGATAATAATAGTAATGATAAAATAGAGCAACAGAAATGAGCAAGAGATAAGACAATAAAAGGCCTAAAAGGTTCATTAAGAAAAGAGTACAAGTATAACAAAAGCTAAAAAGACAGTAAAGCCGAAATAAGATAGAGGTAAAAGAGATAAGAGATGAAAGATAAAAGATACAGATAAAAGATAAAAAAGTAATAGTTGAATAAAATAAAATACTTGCCAAAATCAGTCCTTTTTGTTAACTAAAACAAAATAAAATTGACAGACAGTCAGAACACTGTGTGATATTTTCAAGTTAATTCTCTGTCATTTTTTCCCTTTATTGATCGGACAGTTGATGTGGTGAGTAGAAGGTGAGAAAAAAGCAGTCAGCAAATTGATGGGTGTTGAACCAGCAATTGCTGTGACAAGGATTATAGCCTCTGTTATGGGGAGCCAGCCAACAGTGTAATCATATTTTTTTTTACAGTGATGTTCATTAAAATCTGATAGGACTCAGTAAACTCTCTATCCATATCAGCTGAAGATGACACAGTGGTGCAGCTCACTTGGTCTCCAGCTCACCCTCTCCCTCACTGTATTTAGGGGGTGAACAGGGACAATTCGCAGTCATAGCAACTATCGAAGAACAGGACACTGAACTCAACAAACGCCTTTATTTTTATGGCTTTGTTTAATGTCGATAACGTTCAGTCAAACGATCGAGGGTTCCAGTGTGTTTATTTATATATTTCTGCGATCCATCTAAAACCTTTTAGCCAATGTACTTTTAAACTAACAGACTGTTATTTAAGCAGTGTTGCTAAAGGCTACTGTTAGCATACTTATGCAAGCATGGTGCACCACAGTGACAGAGTAGCTTTGTAGTCCCTTCATTGAATAACTGAAGCTATCAATTGTTGACCTCTGTGGGTTTCTATCATATGGTTGTTTGTTTAGGGGTTTAGTTGAACTCTAACAACAGACAGGGATTGACAGAGAGTTTGAACAAATGTGAATGAATTTGGTGTCAATTGTAATCATACCACCTGGAGGTTTCAAGGACTTACTTCTTTGAAAACCTGTCATCATTACTGTGCTGAGGTGCATTTCTGTGCACAGAGACAAAATAAGAGATTGTACCTCCAAACTAAAGTTATGATATTTGTAAAAATGGTGCGACGTGTTCAGATAGCTCATAACATATGCAAAAAAAAAAAAAAATGCAAAAGAAAAGTTACCAACTAGCTTAATGACAACGCTGTCAGGAGCTACAATTTAACACAACACGACACACAGAGCTCAAAACAAAGACACATTTTCCTGCCATCGTTTTATCCAGATTTAATTGTGTCAGTGAGAAGCTTAACTCATCTCTGCAGTGAGAAGTAGACTTATTTCCTTTAATTATAGGCTTCTCAAAGAGAGGAGGGAGGCTCTGTTGGAGAGGCTCGTGTGTGGGAGGAAATCAGCTGTGATAATACTATATGTACACAGGTTCCAGCTGCTCTGGGTAAAAAGGGAATGAATATCACACATTAAACAATATCCATACAGATCGGAGTTCATTAGAAAGGCTTAAAACTTTCATCACACTATGGGTATTTTGAGTATTAACTTAACCCTAGTGTGCAAATTAAACAGTGTGGTACTGTATGATGTTATTGGTCTTCAGACACCCAGAGCTATTCACCTTAAGAGGTTGATAAAACAGAGAGAGATGCAGTCCTGTTTGCCAGCTACCTCACCTATTTCTGAGACATTTGACTGGCTTGGTACAGCAGTCCTTGAAAACTCAAGTACCTTGTGTTTTCTTAAATAAGAGGTTACTGCTCCATCTACATACAAAAATATATAGAAAAAACACTTGTACATGGAGAACTCTTAATCTCACTAGCTATCCC